GCTATAAGCATCAAGTGTGTACAGTATATTCACTGGTAGCTATAAGAATCAAGTGCATACAGTATGTTCACCGGTAGCTATAAGCATCAAGTGTGTACAGTATATTCACTGGTAGCTATAAGAATCAAGTGCATACAGTATGTTCACTGGTAGCTATAAGAATCAAGTGCATACAGTATGTTCACCGGTAGCTATAAGCATCAAGTGTGTACAGTATATTCACTGGTATAAGAATCATGTACATACAGTACGTTCACTGTTAAACATAAGAATCAATTGCATACAGTACAGTCACTGGTAGCTATAAGAATATTGGTTACTAATCAGAGAGAGACAACAAAAATGTTGAACATTTTTAAAGAATTCTTTTATAAAGAAAAATAAATACCTTAATAATTTATACTGAAAAAAGACAAAATAAGGAAAACAGATGTCCTGTTGAAAACTGACATATTTATGGTCTATTTATTACGGAAAGGCGAAGTTACTCGGTAATGTAAACTTTTATCAGCTAAACAGTTAATGTAACCTGTCATTGACCTACATTGAGTAATCTGACACACCTATTCAGTAGCAGCCATCAGGATGTGCTGGCACTTCTCATCACCTGAAAAAACGTATGTGTACCCCATAAGCTTCCAGAACTTATAGTAAGTAATCTTTAACTGAGGAAGTCACATGATATTGTGACGCAACGCATCGGCCTGACGTGGTGACGCACTTCCGGTGTGGTGGCCATCTTGGTGCACCTTTTTTGATTCCTGTACATCCATGCAGATTACACCCAAAAGCATAGGTTGTAAAGCTGTCATCTTCGAGGACAGATGTGAGTTGTCTCCATATGTTTATGGTTTGATTTTCATTAAATTTACCTGCTACACTATGGGAGATTGTGTTTATTTTTTTGGCACATACCCATACCCCATAAGAGGAGCCACTGCTTGATTATCGACCCCTAGAGAAGGATATCTATGGATGGGGAAAGTGGATCAGCGGATATCAGTAGATGCTGAGAGGATTTGAGGGTTTGATCCCACTATATGCTTTGACCTTCACGGGTCGAAGCCTGGAGGTGAGAGGCTAATCTAGCCGTGTGTTGGAATTTCTGCACCTGGAGTCACTTTATGATCACGTGTGCTTGCAATTGCAGTAGTGGTGTCACCCACCCATTGGACATTTGTCTACACATTTTTTATTTTTGTTTGTGTTTTAGTGTGACATTTTTTGCACCATATTTGCATGATTGATCACAGTTTAATTACTACAATCGTTTATTGCTTTCCTGTGTTAGAATTTTTCACAAGATTGTTAATACACAGTATTTATACACTATGTTTTTTATGATATTAGTTTTAATATATATTTTTTGATCACTATGACCACTTGATTATTATATGTATATTCATCTCACGAGGTGTATTGTATGTGTTAGATATACTTAAAAAAATTTTTTGATTAGTATTTTTTAAGTTCTATGAGTAGCGCCACACTTTTTTGAATTTTAATCTTTAACTATAGCTCCAAGTTTGGCCACCGATATTACCCTCAGCATCCCATAGGACAATGCATACACCTCTCTATTGGTCATTAGAATGTTTGCATGGCATTGTAGGAAGAGAATATTATTCTAACTTGCCACGTCGCAAAGCAAAACAACCACTGAGCAAGCCATTTTGACGGCGAGTTGAGTTGATGCCAAAGAGCTCGATTTTGGTCTCATCTGACCACAACACTTCCAACCAGTCCTCCTCTGCATCATTCAGATTTTCAGTGGCAAACTTCAGATGGGCCTGGACATGTGCTTTCTTGAGCAGATGGACCTTACAGTCTATGCAGAATTTGAATCCTTGTTGGCATAGTGTGTTACCAATTGTTTTCTTGGTGACTGTGGTCCCAGCTGCCTGGAGATCATTGACTAGATCCTCACGTGTAGTTCTGGGATGATTCCTCACTGTTCTCATGATCATTGACACTCCACGAGGTGAGATCTTGTATGGTACACCAGACCTAGGGAGACTGACTGTTGTTTTGTGTTTCTTCCATTTGCAAATGATTGCACCAAACTGTTGTCACCTTCTCACCAAGCTGCTTGACGATAGTTTGGTAGCCCAGTCCAGCCTTGTGTAGGTCTACAATCTTGTTCCTGACATCCTTGGACAGCTTTTTGGTCTTTGCCATCCCTTTAAGAGAATGCTTCTAATCTCAGCTTGTTACCTGTATGAAAGGCACCTGGTAGCCAGAAATCCTGCTGAATTATAGGGGATCAAATAATTATTTCCCTCATGAACATGCAAATCAGTGCATAATTTGTTAGACATGCATTTCTTTTGAATGTTTAGTTGCTATTCTGTCTCTCAGAGTTACAATACACCTACCATTCGATTTTTAGACTGATCATTTCTTTGTGAGTGGGCAAACATTCAAAATCAGCAGGGGATCGAATATTTATTTACTTCACTGTAGGTGCCTCATTATTGACAGTGGGAGGAATAGTGTCTCAGGTCAGTCGGAGGAACAGTGCCCTAAGGGCAAGCAAAGGGCCACATCTGGCCCATTCCACAGTTTAGAGACATCTGCTCTAGAGTGAGAGAGAGAGGATTGGGGTAAATTTGGGTATTGCATGGACAAATACTTTAACTGTCTTTTGGTAACACTGAGTGTAAGAGACGGCAGTGACTTTTTATCGTCACAGACTTAGTAGGTGTTATATGCTGAAAGGGTCTGGATGGGGCCAACAGAATTCTCATCTACATTGTTCACATACAAAAATTCACTCTGACTTAGCAATATATTGTGAGTAGTCACTGGTAAGAGATATGTTTCTGTACTCCTTTCAGTGGAGATTAATACTGACACTAAGATAAATTGTCTTTTAGTTTATAGGAAGGGCTCTAAAACACTATACAGTTTGAGTCTAAAGTAGAAGGAGGTTTTCCACTGGTGAATAATGGAAGAAAAAAAACATAATGTTTGTGTGTAATGTTACTATACTGATAATATAGTAATGTACAGGACATACCTACATGATGTTAGTTCTTACTTCCATGCCTCAGCCTTTGATGAATCCCCTGTAAGTGAAATGCACCTGTGATGCCACAAGGCTATTGTTCCCCTTTGTATAACTTTGGTTGTAATCAAAAACATGCAAATAGATGCTTCTCTGTGAAAAACTGACATAAAACCTGGGTTTATACAGCCAGAAAAGCAACCTACTGAATAATAGTATCAGCACCAAAAGTGTGACTAATTGACAATGATAAATGCCAAGACAAAAATGTTTATGTGTTTTGTTCATTACATCCCACCATGTGTACAGTAAATGTAATTATGCTTCTGCCCACATTCTACAATTCATATGTGCTTTTATTCTTTTATCTGGTAAGAGTACTCTGCAAACAATGTTTATCTGTAGTTCAAAGGGTTAATAAAGATACATTTAAAGGGTTAGTTCATCTTTACAAAAAAGCTGCTTATGCAGGTAAAATGTGACTGTAGATAATAACAAACTGTATGGCTCTGACCAAAGTTAAATAATATTCTTTCTATAGGTGTAGGCCATTTATGTACCTCCAAAAAGCCAGGCCAGAAAACTCCCATAGCATCCCCCTATCCTGCCTTGTTGTAAAATTTATTTTTTTTCTTCAAACCCCACTATGACACAGAACAAAGATTAAAAAAAAAAGTTTGCTCATCAAATGTAACAGATTTAAACAGTTTCTAAACTTTATCCCTTTTTTTTAATCAAAATTATTATTTTTTTTCATTAAAAATAATTTATTTAAAGTGTATGTAAGCCTCAGCTAAGTGCCTTTTAATTATACCAATAAAAGCATTTTGTTTTTTGTGCAAACAGAAACAGAAACAATTCAGTACTGTCCGTGATACTTTTTTTTTATTTGCACTAACATACAATTTTGAGGACAAGCTTTCGGGGAGTGTCCCCTTCTTCAAGGTCCAAGCAGTACTTGGACTGTACTCAAGTTTGTGTGCAAACAAATACCTTTTGACTCTACAACTGATTCCAAGCTCAATTGCTGCATTGTTTCCAGCTATCTCTTTGAAATGCAGAATAACTCCATTCTCTGTAATATGGAAGAGGTGAGAGGCAAATGTTCTGCATTCCTGTCTAGGGATAAGGCCTGGTTTCACAGCTAATTCCATGGTTCAGAGAGGCAAATGTTCTGCATTCCTGTGGGATAAGGCCTGGACAGATGGGTTCATGGTGTTCTATATGTTCTTTCACCTGGATAAATTCACTAATAGGGTGCACTGTCTGGCCTTTTAACTTAGGTCAACTAAGTTATAAGGGCCAATAAGGAGGATTTTAGATGAGCAAATCAACTCACTATGAAGGAATGGGTTCCTAGTTGCTGTATTACCAATGTGCTTTAGCTGTGATAGGGATAGCATAGGAAGTATTGCCAATAAAATGCACAGTGAGATAATAATGTAGGGGTTACAGGCACTGGCAACAGTGTGTGTCAACCTTGTGAAGACTTACAGGAAACGTTTGACCTCTGTCATTCCCAACAAAGGATATATAACAAATCATTGAGATGAACTTTTGATATTGACCAAATACTTATTTTCCACCATAATTTGCAAATAAATTCTTTCCAAATGAAAGATTGTCTGGATTTTTTTTCTCATTTTGTCTCTCATAGTTGAGGTCTACCTATGATGCCAATTACAGGCCTCTCTCATCTTCTTAAGTGGGAGAACTTGCACAATTGGTGGCTGACTAAATACTTTTTTGCCCCACTGTATAAGGTAGCCACCACGTGTAAGGACTGGTAAGCTGTATTATACTACAATGTGTATTGGTAAGTTTAGATACACTTCAGAATTTGGTACTGTTGCATCATGTGTTGTCCTTGATCCAAAAATAAGTTTGATTCATGTTCATAATGAGTGAGGTAACCCTCCCTGACAATAGATTCATTAGTTATTAATTAATCTCAAACAAGCCGCTAACTTCTTGTTTTTTTGTATTTCTTGTTTAACCTCCCTGGCGGTATTCCCGAGTGTAGCTCTGGGTAAAGTTTCAGTACCACAAGCGGTAACCCCGAGCTACACTCGGGCTTACCATGTGGCGCTGCACTGCGATCCCTTGATCTCTTACCTTGTCCTGTGCTCCCGCGATGTCCCTCCTGCAGTGTCCCCGGCAATGTAATCCGGTGGATCCGGCATCTGTCTTCTGGGTTCCGTCCCCTGCGAGCGTCAGGACGTACGAGGGACGGAACGGCAGGAAATTTGAAAATGACAAAAAGTGACATTCACTAAAATCACTAAAATCACATAGTAAAACATTACTGTATCAAACCACTTCACATACATTTTGTCCCTAGTGCTTTGTCCTGTGCCCTGCCTGCATTTTTGCTGTTCTTATTGCCTGGAAACTGAGAAACGTCCATGACGTCCAAAAAGCGTCCCTTTAGGTCAAAAGCGGTTTTAGACCAGCTAGAGAACAGCAATAGTAAATCAGAACCACTTGCAGAATTGAGTGATAATGATTCGTAGGGAAATTCGTCCTCAGACACTGAAAACAATTTTACGACTTTGCTCAGTGATGTGCGAACTGGGCGCTATATTTCAAATTTCAGTGTTTTTGGTTTGATTATATTATTGAATTAAATTTATTATTATATTATTATTTTTTATGATTATTTATTAAATTATAATTTATGATTTCGGGTTTCAAGTTTTATCCTACCCGGGAGGTTTACTAGACTCTTGTTCGGACAGATTTCAGTGAGTTATTCCTAAGAATTACAGGCCTACAATATAAAAAGCCAAATTTCCATGCAAAATAATGGTACCGCTTTCAGCACCAAAAATCTGAAATAATCATACCGCCAGGGAGGTTAATTGAAACATTTTACATCTGTCTTTATAGTATTTTACCCTATCATTTAAAACTTGTCCTGGTTGTACACATTGTTCAAAAGCCAGCCAACTTCCAAACTTCTAGAACACCTGGTTTACACTAAACTGAAAATGTTTCCCTTGTCTTCCTGATTAATACCCCTTATATTCTGCTGTAAGAACTCTCAGTGCAGTTTTTAGTGATCTTTACAAAAAATATTTTACCTACTAATGCTGTTTGATTTGTCTTCTGCTATTTATAAAGTTCTCTTTTCATGGTGGCCTGTCATAGGTGTCATCAATTGGTCCCCTGCTAATTTCAATATACCAGTTTTGACTTAAAATACCAAATGTACTGTATGCCAGGACCAGCATATTATACATTTCTGCATGCAAACCTTCACCATTCTTGAAAATATTGCATCATTCTCTCCCATTCCACTGTCTTTATTAATGCTACCATCCCCATATAAAACCCCAAGCTTCCTTTTATAATCATTTCCTTGAGTATTTACAATAATTAATGCAATTATCACTGCATATCAGCAAGCCTGACATCCAATGGTGACTTTTGATTCTTCACGCGCACATCCAAATCTTGTAGCTTTCAGCTGAAATACATCTTTTGCATCTACCACTAAATTACTGTCGACCTCTGTGCCCCCAACAGTTAATGTGGGTTCCTTGATGCATAAATTCTGAGTATTATCTGGAATTCACAAAAAAATAAGGGAGGTTATCACTTTTAATAATGCAGTCAAAAGCTTGGTCCATAAACAAGCTACATATTCTCTCAGTCTAGATGCAAAGGCTCAAATTATCACAGGTGGTGTTCAGGCAGAGTAATAACAATGGCACAAACCAGCCAACAAATAAACAACAGAATTCTCTTTTTAGGTGTATTGTTCCAAGCTTGCTGGCTGTTTGGGATTCACTTAAGTTGTTGAATTGTTCTTGCAAGTTTATTGCTAGTCTGCAATAAAAAAAGAAATTGAAAAATGTTGTTGCAGCATGCAAAAAGGTACTTTTGGTACTTCACTATCCTTATATGCAATATCAGCTGCAATTCTACATAAAACTTCAGCCTTTCTCCCCAAGGTTAGAGAAATTCTTCTCTTATCAGGCATAAGCTGGTCCCCCAACTGAACAGTGGCAACAAAGATTATAGGAAATAATGACTTACAAGCTGCTAACTTCAATGACCACTACTCCACCTCAAAAAAATTCCACTCTCTTGGCCTCCGAGACACAGCTCTCTCCTGGTTCCCCTCCTACCTATCTCAGCGTACCTTCAGTGTAACCTGCAACTCTATCTCCTTCCTTCCTCTTCCTACCTCATATGAGGTCCCCCAAGGCTCTGTCTTTAGACCCCTTCTATTCACCCTCTACGCTTTCTCACTGGGTCAGTTTATAACCACTTGAAGATTTCAATCTATCTCTCCTCCTCAGCTTAACTCGTCAGTCTTCTCATACATCACTAACTTACTGACATATCAGTATAGATGTCACACCACTTCTTCAAAATCAATCTTTCAAAAACTGCTCTGATTTAACTAATGAACCTAATCTCAAAATATTACAAAAACTGTCCACTCTGCTTCTCTGAGGACCTTCTACTTTATAGCTTCTTTGGCACCTCCTCCTGTGCTCACCTCCAGGACTTCTCCAGGGTATCTTCTATACTCCCAAAATTCTTTCCTCAGTCTGATTGGCTATCTCTCATTTCATCCACCTTTAGGCAGACAGAGTGGGAAGCCTATGTTCATTGTGCTGTTTTTCTTGTGCATCCACCTAGAGTAGAGAGCAAAAATCCACTGCCTGATAGTTGGAGCAATTCACCAGAGTCAACTGAATTTTTAATTACAGAAGGTCACAAAATCATAGAATGACTACATTTGAGATCCAGATGTAATTTAATAATTTTTCTTCTTTCAAACCTCGTCTCCAGGATCTCAGAATATTGTCTCTTATAATAAATGTAAGTAAAAAGGAAACAAAACCATAGCCTAATTCTATTTTTAAATTATTAATAACCACAAAGAGATCCAATCACTTGTGGCAAGTGAACCAAACACTATGTTTATTGTCACATACACAAGACCAGCTTTCAGGGTGCCTACGCTATCAGTGAACACACTGATGTGGGGAAGAGGCTTTTGTCCTCATCAACATGGGAAAAAGGTACCCCCCCAAGTTGAAAGCATGTGGTCTGGTTTGGTTCAGGAAGGTTGACACATGGTAGACCTCACTTTTTCTGGTCAGCCAAACTGTATTCTCAGATAAGGATCTGGTGTACATTTTGGTGGGGGACCTCAATCTTTTTTGCATAGGGTTCAAAGGGTCTGGTATGGAATTTTGGGGTGGATCACATGCCTTTTTTTTTATTTTTGCATGGGGTCCCCGTTAACATGCACACCATACCCTCATCTAGGATTAGAGTCTGATATATATAAAGTGAATCACCAGCCACTTTGTTTACAAACAAAAGTAAGCAACCAAAGTTGTCAATTGCTGGCAATTCCAACTACATTGTTTTAATTTAATAGCAGTTTTACTGTGGTAGGTTGTATACAGCGAAAAGCTCAGTGTTCAGTCCAAGTGTACGTTTACGGCATTCAGCAACAAATCTGACAGCTTCTGCCTGTCAAAGGTTGCAAAGATAGCAGTGGGTGCTTGCACCCACTGCGTCTTTACCAACCACTGACGTCCCCTGACCCATTCACTTACCCAGCCACATAGGTAAATGAGTAGGCAATGGAGTCTGTTACATCATTACCTAAATCTTTTTTTTTTGGTGAATCATTGGGAGGCAGACATCCTGATTCAAGACAGACAAACAACTACAACTACATTAAATAGACTTTATAGGCACTTAAACATAATTTTTGTATAAAACCTTTATACTCTTTATTGACAAATCACATAGTTACAACAAATAACAATGAATTCTAAAATATGATACCAGATAAGTATCGCAATTTACAACAACAAAAAATTGCACCTCAATATTTGTATCATTTGAAATCTGACTGCTCCTAAATGACCATATATCCTGATTAGTTCCAAAAATGGATCACTGATGGTTAGGATGATCTTGTAGTTCATTGAACGTGGGTATCTTGTCATAGTACAGAACTAGTACAACCTCAATTGAACAGTAGCTTTACATGTTTCGCGACTCTCAGTCGCCTCTTCACGAGATATGGAAAGATGCATCTACAATAAAACAAAATTTGATTGTTGACCTGTATATGCATATATATGTAATCAAAAACCACAAAATCAAAAGGAAAAAGAAAATAAACTTCTCTACATACAAAAACATAAACTGGACAGATATCCACTTACAATTATTGCCATAAAAAACACGTTTTTGTAGTTAGTCATCGGAGGAAACATATTGCGTCAGAGTGGGTGTCCAGACATGGAGGCACATCAGGAAGCAGGGACAACATCATGTAATATTGTTACAATCTGTTGAAAACAGAGCAGGTTTTTAAAGCTGATATTATGAACCAAAATTGTATTGTTTAGCAATTTGCCAAACATAACGATAGTGCATAGACATTGTTCTACTATACATACCAGACACATGCAAAATGAGGCATGAACCAAACATCATAGACAAAAAACGGAAAACTGAAAAATGTATATATACTTACTAAGTCACATAAATTGAAAGGTATTGATTGGTCTCCAAACAGACCCTAAGTGACATAGTGAATTTGATAATTTGCTGAAAAAAAAGAGAGGGTAGAAAAAAAGGGAGAGAAAGAGAATAGGAAAGGGGAATAGGGAAATGGTACCCTATATATTCCATCATATCTGTGCTCATATGGAGGACATGTCTATCTTGATAGTAACCATAAAGAGATTAGGTAAAGGTACCTCAAAGAAAATACCGTATTTGCCGGCGTATAAGACGACTGGGCGTATAAGACGACCCCCCTACTTTTCCTGCTAAAATGTAGTGTTTGGGCTATACTCGCCGTATAAGACTACCCCTCTTCCAGTGCACACCAGTGGGAGGAATAGTGCCCCATCATCGGTATCAGTGGGGGGAATAGTGTCCCATCATTAGTATCAGTGGGGGAATGGTGCCCCATCATTGGTGTCAGTAGGAGGAATAGTGTCCCAACATTGGTGTCAGTGGGAGGAATGGTGTCCCATCATTGGTGTCAGTGGGGGGTGGAATAGTGCCCCATCGTTGGTGTCAGTGGGGGGTGGAATAGTGCCCCATCGTTGGTGTCAGTGGGGGGGGGAATAGTGCCCCATCGTTGGTGTCAGTGGGGGGGAGGAATAGTGCCCCATCATTGGTGTCAGTGGGGGGTGGAATAGTGCCCCATCATTGGTGTCAGTGGGGGGTGGAATAGTGCCCCATCGTTGGTGTCAGTGGGGGGGGGGAATAGTGCCCCATCGTTGGTGTCAGTGGGGGGGAGGAATAGTGCCCCATCGTTGGTGTCAGTGGGAGG